TTAATTATCATTTGAGAATAACAACAGAAGAAAAGCAATGTGTCTCAATTTTTATTTTTCCCTCTACTTATCCAATTGAAATTAATTTTTGATTAATTTCTTAATCTATGATTTATTTTAGTTTGGAGATTATTACAGCTCAAAGAGAGAGATTTTTAAAAGTATAAAATAACCAATGAATGAAAGAGTAATGTAAGATGTAAGGGGCAAAAGATTAGAGGAAAAGGCCTAAGTTCTGCCTCCCAGAAGCTAGAATCTGGGGTAGAACAGGATTCCTTCAAAAAAGGAAGAAGTCTAGAGATGTTAGTGTACAGGGTATTCAAGAGAGAAGGAAAAAGGGAAACAGTTCCTCAGTGGGAAGAAAATATTAAAAGAAAATGAGGAGGCATAGAGACAAAACATTTATGCTTTATCTCACTTAGGCAAAGAGTTTTAGATACATAAAGAAAAAATGTTAAAATGAAGAATTATAGTAAATGGTACATAGACATGTCAGGACCACAGAATTCAACAAAGAACATTTTTTTTCATGAAGAGCCTCATTTATTTCAGAGATGCGTGCCCCAAATGCCTCTCTCAGTGCCCTCTCCTCAACACCCATCCTCCCATTGCAAAACTCTTGGCTTCACTACTGAGAAGTAGGAGTGCAGAGTCCAAATGGAAAACCAGACCACCAAAAGGAAGGTCAGGTGCCAAGAGCTCAGTGTGTTCTCAAGTATCCCTGTGTAAACACAAGAGTATCTCACTTACATGACTTTTTCTTTTCAGTCCTCAACAAGAAGCAGCAAGATTCCTTGCCCATTGGCAAGCATCACACTGCATGACCCTCTTTGAAAATGCTCACCCTGCAGTGACTGTGTTGTACACTCTGCAGGACAAAATAGCCACGTTGCAAACTCCACATTCCCTGTTCCCTCATTTTACTGCCTCTGATTAAAGGGGTAGTTGTCTCTCATGCCATCTGGGATGAAGTATTTGTTCTGGTGCCACCCCAGAATTTTCCAAAATTTGCCCTCTTATTTTTTTAATGTAAAGTTTAAAACACACACACACACACACACACACACACACACACACACACACACACACGCACGCATATAGCCTGTCCAGTTTGTAATTTATTCAGCTTTTCTTTCATAGAGTTTCAGATTTATGGCAGCAGTAAAACAAAATTGCCTCTCCAAATGAGGCTGACATTACTTATCACATTGAATCCCATTTCTGGTATTTTTTATTCTTGTCGTAATTGATTATTTATCTATATTTTTAAATAGTAATTTCAAACACTATATTTGCCCTACCCTCCAATTAATACACACCTGTTGAATTGCATAGAGGATGGGAAATGAGTGGGTTTCATAGTTAGGAACACTTAGGTTCAAATCTGGCCTCTGACAAACACCAGCTGTGTGACCAATTTTTCATTCCCAAAGAACCCTCTAAGATGATAAATTTTGGGCAAGGTAATGATCTGTATTGATAGAAGGCATTTTTCATGCTGGAACTATACTGTGCTGATGAAATAATAAATCTGAACCAGAAAAAAAAAAGGCCAAAATTTTGTTAACAAAATCTATTGCATTCCTGAGCATAGGGAGTCTATCAATGATAGAAGACATGGAACCAGGTTTTAATAATTAATAATAAACAAATAAAAAAACTCTAATATGAAGAATATAAAGGATAGACATAGAAGGAGTTTAAAAGTACTGTAAAATATTGGATTCAAGTAAGCCATTTCAAAGGATATCTGCAGGCCACATATTGACTTAGTTTTAAAATGCAATATTATCAGCATTTTGTTTCATTTTTCATGTTAAATATTCCCCAACTGCACTTTAATTTGATTTGGGCTTCACTGGGGGTGTTGCGGGCTGCACATGGGTAGGGAGCCATGTGTTTGACACCTCTGATATAAAGGAAGTGATCCTTTGAAATTGGGCAAAGGGAAAAAAAAACATGGGAAGTAAGGATAAAATGTATCCTCACATCTATCACTTCCTTTGTAGTCAGAGTTGACCCTCAGAGGAGTTAGTAAATAATCCCCCATTATGTGCAACACATTACCCCTTCTTTTCTCACATCCTCTCTCCACCAAGTACTCTAGTGTGGCTTTGTGGCAAGCCCAGTGCTTCCTGCTTTAGCACTCTGGGGCTTCCTCCCGGCCAGAGCCTTCTTTCCTCTTCTTCACCTTCATCCCCTAGTCATGTCCAAAACCACATCTGCTCGACCCTATTTTGGGGCCCATCACATATATCTAGTGGATAAAGGTTGATTCTACTCATGGTCTTCATTTAAAGTTAAGGAGTTGTGTTTTCATTTTTAAAAATTCTTTATCATTATCCATCCTATATTTCATCTATACACACACACATACATATACATACATATATATACACGTGTAATACATACACATGTATACATGCATGAATGCATACACATCTGTGTGTGTGTTTCCTTTAGCTTAGCCAGCCTTTTGAGAATCAGCCCTTCGAGCAAATTAGTTGACATCAGTTACCTGATCTTTGATATGGCTTTCCCATGTCATAGATACTTAAGAAATCTTGGGCACAAATATCAGTGGATAGCAATCATGTGTTAGAGATTTAGCTCTAGATTGAAGTGCATTCAGATACGGGGATAACAAATAACCAGGCAGAGTTTGCTGCTGCTTGTTTTTTGTTTTTTGTTTTTTTGTTTGTTTGTTTGTTTGTTTTTTTCCCATCATAGATTTTACATCAACATGGCAATGGTGTGAGGAAGTCCATAACATGGAAATGTTTCAAGTACTTTTCAGAGATTGGAAAGGGCATTATTTTCATTGGATTTTAGCTTCTAATCCAAATCCATCAATCTTTATGTTTATCATAGGGAATGGCCACAGGAAAAGAGAGACCTGTCTCTGTTTCTTTGCTTTTATTTTCTATTTATGCAATCAGCTAATCCTTTTAAAAAGGGAACAGAATTAGCATGCAAAATGGAAAGATCTGGCTTTTTTTTTTAATGGCTTAAAAAAATTCCTGGTGCCTATTCTATTTTAACTTCTGCATGAAAATAATAATGAAAGGTACAGCTTCTACATTAATTTTCTCCAATGATATTGACCTTGTTTGAGTTCATTGTCATAATTATTATCCCTGTTAATCTATTTAGGACATCATAAAATACAGACCGACCACACTCTGACCACGTCATCCAGATTCCCTACTTTCTTAGACTTCAGCAGTCTCTGTCTTTTTCTCCAATTTTTTCCTTCCTCCTTCCAGTATGTTTCTCATTTCTTCCTTTCTAAAATTTGCCATATTTTTTTAGTACAGCTAGTTATTCACAACGTCTCTCTGATAAGCATTGTTTGATTTGTAGCTAATTGTAGCAACTGATTTTTCATTATTTATGAGTGTCTTTGTCAAAATCCATTTGGAATTCTGACTGAGATAAAGCTTCTTCCAGTTGCTGATATGACCACAGCAGTAAAACAATTAGGAACTCTTTAAAAAAAAAAAAAGCCCAGAGGCTACTAACATCTTTGTAAGTAACCCAATATTTGCTCTTTCACTTGTATTTGTATGCATTAAATTTATTACCACCACAAAATCAATGTGGTCATTGATTTCAATACATGCATTTATAAATTACATTTGCTTCCTTCTTAATTTTTCATTTATATAATAGATACGTGAGCATTAAAATACTGGCCAATTAAGGAATATGGAATTTCTATCAATATCAGTAGGAAAATATGAGAAATATTAAATTGTTTGACTATTATTTTGAGTATTTGAGTCATACCTGATATCTGCATCAATGCAAATATAAAATTTTACAATGCAAATATTTTTTGTTTTGTGATTATTATTGTAATAATAACAATGATGAAGATTTTTAACAATTACTGGATGGTTCTCAGATTTCAACCTCTGCTATTCCTACAAAAGACTGAAAAGAAGTGGGGAGTGGGGGAAGAGAATGCATTGGCATGGCCACACACAAACATTGTCCCCTCTCTCATCTCCCAAACATATTCATAAAATATGTGAGAAATTTTCAGTAAATTACACAGGATAGAGAAAGTCATTAATATCAGTTGTAATATTTAAGTATCACATAATTTAAACAATTTTACCTGAAGTTATTTGTTCAATTTATTAGTTAAAGCCTGCAGGGTTCACTGCCTTTTATTTTTTGGAAGTCTGATTTTGACATTAGACTTTAAGTACATAATATACCTACTTTGTTTTTAGCTGGCACTTCATTTTCAAAAATTGCTTCACATTTATCAATACAAACATTTCCAGGTATTTATTAAAGGAAGCAAGGGGGACCTGACAATGCATTTCGAGAGAGGCTGTAATACTTCAAGCCTCGCTACTCTGAAACACAAAATATTTATTTATTCATTTATTTTTAGTTTTTTAATTAAGTCAGGAAGATTTAACAATGACTGATCGAAGCCTTGTTTCCATTTAAGGAACGTTTGATTTTTGAGGGAAGCCTTTTCCCTTGCCAGACCGGTCATATCTAGATGGGGGAAGATGCTGTGGTTCAGAACTTTAGCCAGGCCAGAGATAATCCTAAGAGATACTTGCTGGTGTTTTCACACTTTGTTTGAGCTAAGGTCTATCGCTCACATTAATTTCTTTTTATGGGTTGAACAGACTCTTCCTAGTTTCTACAGTCTTTGCCACTTTTCTTATCCTCTTCAAGAGGGGTGCTGATAGACTTAAACAGCTGATACAAGCCCTCTAAAATGTAGTTATATGGGGTGTCCTAAAAGCTGATGCTTAAAACTTCAGTGAGACTTTTAGAACCTCCTGTAAAAGGAATACTAGAGCACCACAGATAAGGGAACCACTTGTCCAGAACATATGCAAAGTTTAAATAAGTACCTTGTGCTGATATGATAGCTGAGAAACTAGAATGTTTGAGAGTGCTTATTTTTAGGGAGGCTTTCTTTTAAAAAAAAATCTCACTTTTTGTTATCTTTTTTTCCCCCTAATTAGGACAGAATTTTACCCTAAGGCAGTTAGGAGTTTGTGAACCAGCAACTCGAAGAGGACTGACATTTTGTGCGGAAATGGGACTCCCCCACAGAGGTTACTCTATCAGTGCAGGGTCAGATGCTGATACAGAAAATGAAGGAGTGATGTCCCCAGAGCATGCCATGAGACTTTGGGGCAGGGGGGTCAAATCAGGCCGAAGTTCCTGCCTGTCAAGTCGGTCCAACTCAGCCCTCACCCTGACCGATACAGAGCATGAAAACAAGTCGGACAGTGAGAATGGTAAGTTTAGATCTCTGTCTTTTATTTTGATTTTTTTTTGTTTTTATGATAGCATTCACTGATTCTTTGATTTGGTTGACACTTGAGATTTTTAAAAAAATACAAATTGGAGAAATGACCTCAAAAATGTATTTTCGGATGGGGGAGATTGATATTTATTATCACTTGGCTAAATTATGTGAGCCTGATGTTTGAGATACATTTTGGAAGAATAGTTTAACCAGATTAAAAAAAAAAGGAAAAGATTAGCTTTGACTTATCTTAGACTGTGTCACCTGTTATCCTCAGTGGAGTAGGGAAGCAAGGGGTGATAAAGTTTATCCTCCAGGCCAGCTTGCAATCAAAGATGTCTTTGTAAATTCCTCTTGAAGACATCTCAAAGAAGTTGCAGAATCTTAGAATGGATGAGTGAGCACATAGAATAGTTTATTAACAGGGCTCTAGTGATTGAAGAACAAATCTGATCGTGCTTTAAACTTACCAGTTGATGAGGGCAATTGAAATCATGGTAAAGAGGGGAATGTGGTCTTTGATGTGCTTTAGAGACTGGATTACTATGCAATTAAAATCTAACCCCCTCCCCCAAATAGGCTTTCTGAAATAGAAATAGCAGCTTGGCACATTGTAAAGACAAGCGTTTTTTTTAATACATTATTAGGACTTTATTCTGTTGCTGGTAGGAAAAGAGGTAGCAAAGATCAGAATTTATTTTAATGTGATTTTTTAAAAAGCGCCCTTGATTTCTAACAATCATAGCTTCGTTTATGTATGTGGGAAGAATGTAGAGCATTGATTTGTAAGGTACCACATGACAGAAGACACATTTCTCTTGAGTGTTTAATATAAACCATGAACTCAAGGGCCTGATGTGATTATTAATGCTTTGTATATAAGATGCATTAAAACGTAGAGAGAAAGGAGGATAACGAAGAGATTCTATGAATTGCAAACAGGGAAGAGGGCTGTTTTTACTTCTGGCTTTTAGTTTTGACTTTTTTTTTTTTGGCTTGGTAACCTTGTTGGCTTTGCTCTGCAATAGAAAGACTTAATAACTATTGTTAGGTTTCAGAATCTTCAGTTTCAACCAGTGCTATTACCTGTATCTTCTTAAGGACATATTTGACCCTTTTCTTGCCTTATTATATGTGCTAGGTGCCTTACATCAAAATCATCTTCATCACCGTTGTGACATTTTCTTAAAATATTTCCATGAAAAAGTATCCATGGCTGGGTTGAAGTTGAAAATTATTACAATAAGAAAATAGAATAAATCATAGTTCTTTTGATAAAAGTAGCTTGAGAGATAAAAATAACCTACCCAGTTTTTTCCCCTGAAAAGAAAGTCGCCAGAGACAGTTAGCAGCACAATGGATAGAGCACTCGAGCTGGAGTCAGGAAGACATGAGTTCAAATTTGGCCACAGATAATTTCTAGATATGTGACCCTGGGCAAGTCACTTACCCTGTGTTTGCTTCAGTTTTCTCCTCTGTAATATAGAGATAATAATAACATCTACTTCACAGGATAGCTGTGAAGGATCGCATGAGATAATATTCTTAAAAGTACTTAGCACAGTACCTGGCATATATAAAAACTTATCCCCTTGCCTTTCCCCTTCCCTACCCCACTTACCCCTATTAATTCAATGTATTATGTATTCACATGAATTTTCATGGTGAAATCCAAAGACCCTAAGTCTAATTATATAAGATAAAATAAAAATTCTCCCCCTCTCCCATTCTTTGGAGACATACACACATGCAAAGAGCTACTCCAATTCCATTCAAGGCACTTGCTTCTAAATTTTATGACCACATTTGTAAGCATTAAGAATGCTCCAGCAGTGATAACTTTTAATTATATTTTTCTTGGATTATCTCTAGCCAATTTTTATATCAGTCTGCCTCCCCTGCCCCAGCTTATCTAGTTGTATGTTCCAAGAGTATAAATTAAATTTGATCTTATCCTTAAAAGTAAAAGAAATGGAGGAAGTTATATTGGCCACCACTGTGATATAATGCTTTCCAAGATTAAACATAAATAATTTCCCCATTGATAAAACTTAAATATTACAAATTTTGCAGCTTTCAATTCACCTAACATGGAGTTTTCTTTGGCTTGATTGCTCTGTGTGATACTGAATTATCCACACCTCTCAATTAGCACAGGAATGAAAACACCCTTTTCTAGAGTTATTATAAACTTCATATGTGTTTTGTTTTATTTTAATTTTTAAATTAAATATTTTTTTCAATTAATAAGCATTTATTTTGTTTTCTAATACATCTAGCCTCCCTGGAAAAGAAAAGAGAAAAACCCTTTTCACAAATATTTGTAATCAAGAGAAATAAATTCCCATATGGGCTATATCCAGAAAAGTGTCTCACATTCTGCATCACCTCTCTTTCAGTACATGGGTAGCATTTTTCTTTCATCATTGGTCCTGTGGAATTAGTCATTCACTCTGTTCAATGGTGTTTTGGTTTTGAGTCAGATGAAATTAGGGAATTTTGGTAGCTTGAACATGAAATCAAACCATTCAGCTCAAATGGCTCATGAAGTGATGAACAAGGATGTATGAAGCTCTTGATGACATTTTGGTAACTCTTTCCCCAAGATCATTTTTCTATTAAGCAAAGCAGCTTCTGCTGCTCCCTAGAACTGGAGTTATCCATTTAATAAACCTTTTGGAAGAGTCCTTAGACATCATCTAATCCAGCCCTCTCATTTTGCAGGTGAAGAAACTGAGACCAAATGAGGGTCAGCATTCAAATTACTACCTCTAACTTCTCAGGGCAGCTGAATGGTGCAGTGGATGGAGTGCTGGGCTTGGAATCAAGAAGACTCATCTTCCTGAGTTCAAATCCAGCCTCAGACACTTAGTAGCTATGCGGCCCTGGGCAAGTACCTTAATACTGCTTGCCTCAGTTTTCTCATCTGTAAAATGAGCTGCAGAAGGAAATAACCGACCATACCAGTATCTTTGCCAACCCCAAATACAGCCACAAAGAGTCAGGCACAAGTTAATAACAACACCTCTAACTTCAGGTCTAGACAATGCTTTTCGTTTTATACCAGACCATTTCTGAGACAAATATACTAATGAATCACAGGATTGAGAGTTAGAAGGAACTTGAATAATCATCTGGTCCAACCTCTGTTTTTAAGGATGACAAAATCAAAGCTCAGACAGGTTAACTTCTTAAAGAAAGCCATACAAGGAACAAGGAACAGAGCAAGATTAGAACCTCGACCCTCTGACTCCCAACATTGCTTTCCCATTACATCATGAGAGTTCGCTATTTCATATACATCCCTACAGGTGTATGTCATAGATTTTACTTCAGACTAGCATCTACCTCACAGGGTTGTTATGACGATCAAACGAGATAATAATATTTGTGAAGTGCTACACACAGTGCCTGCACATAGTAAGCACTTAATAAATACGTGTTCCCTTCCCCTTTCAAACTGATTAGGGAGAGCCTAAAATTTTTATGATAAATCATAGGGAGTAAGCTTTTCTTTGAAGTCATCAAGATGCATAAAAACAGGGGGAAAAGATTGAATTTCTACTGGGACCATTTACTTGAAGTTATGGTTTTGACATTGGGTCATTAAACAACAATGAAGCCATTTAAAAAAAAGATAAATTTGTCTTAGTTATATATTCTAGTTTTCTCTGAATTCATATACTTTTAATGCAAAATCTCACTCTTCTGAGGAATATTTTTTAAAAATATTCCCCATTTTAGTAACAACTTTTTCTCCCTTTAATTACTCTCTTCATATAGACTCACATCTGTAAACATTAAAATGTCAGACATTCATAACATAAAACTTAATCTGATGCATATTCACTACGACTGCTGACATTCAGTGGACTCCTCAAACACTCTTCTTTTGCTTTTGTTTTCTGAAGTAATTTATTTCTTCAACTGGATATTCCTTTCTCCTGTACTTTCTCCATATTCTAATTTATGTTCACTCTTACACCAACCTAGGAAGTCTCCTTAGAAGTGTGTGTGTGTGTGTGTGTGTGTGACATACTAGAAGAAAATGGGTCAAAGGACTCCCCACAATGATGCAGCAATAAGAATTTGACTCCAAGGCAGTTTCATCTGTGGATTTAAACATTTGATTTTTTTTTTTTTGGCATGTGATATAACTGTGAATATAGATTTTTTTCCCCCAACATTAGTAAAATTATGCAAGTAGACTGTCTGATGTTCCAGTTACAGCTTCAAAGAAGAGTTTAGTGACTAAAAAAAGGATTAGATTTCATTTATTTATTGATAGGGAGGTCAACAGTCCAAGTGCAGAAGGCGCTAGAACTGCTGTGAGGCTAATGAAATTTTGATGGCCTGTGTATCCCATGAGAGTAAAAAAAAAATATTCCAACCGTGTCACAAGTCTCCATATCAGTGGAGATGCAAAACAAGTGATAACATTTATTCTCTCTTGCCCTATACAATTTCCACCAGTCTTGGAAGAGGGAAGCAAAAATCATTTTTAAAAAATAGTTGACAGTATACATAATATGAGTTTTATGTGGAATTTAAAATGTAAATCCTACTCTAAATTAAGGGTGCTGGAGTAATTCCTTCTTTGACATGTATTGATTTTTTTGTTCCAAGTCAAGTACCTTGTAACCAGGGCAAGTTACTGGTGATGCAGTGATTTATGTCCTCCAATTAATACTGGTTCTAGTAAGCTGTTGAAATGTGACAAAATAAATGTGATGAGGCTCCCAAATCAAAGGGAAAATTACCAGCATGTATTTCAGGCCTCTTTCCTGTCCCCAAAATGTTGTTACCGGGTTCCTCACTGGATTCTGATGGCCCTGTTTGGCAAGTATTCTGATCCCTAACCCAAATGCACATCTCCAATCTGAACAAAAATAAAGACTTCTTCTGTTGGGGGGGGGGAAGCAAACAGAAAACCTTCCCCAAAAACTGACTTGAAGGAGAATTTTTAAATATTTGCATGTGCATTAGGGT